GGAGGCTCTGGCACTGTTGAATTTCAAGGTAAGACACTGAGCGGGATATAAGGTGACCACCACCGCAGGACAGAGTGGGCCCCACAGATAACAGCTGGGTCTCTGCTCAAGCCCTAGAAGTCCCTGGAATAACTGTGAGACCACTAAGTTGTATCCTGACTTCCACCTTGAGTTTGTGGGGAGGTGAGGCCTATTCTGAGGAGTGTTGCCTTCTCTCCCTGCATTATCTATCACACCTCTAGCTTTCCTGGTTGACATGTTCTGGTAAAAGCTGTCAGTTGGAGGCACCATCTGGATTCTTTCACCTTCGAGTATCTCCGGAAGATTAAAGCCTCTTTCTGAGGTAAGAGGCCTTGGGGCAATAGAGAGAGGAGTCCCAGATGTTCCTGGGTCACAGTAAGGATTTTAAACAAGGGCAGATGGGACCACTTACCTTAAAACAGCCTTGTAGACAGTTCTGGAAAATCTTGGGCCAGCTGTACCCTGAAGAGCCTTTTTAGTTCCTTCTTAGGCTTTTTACGGCTCAGGACAGAAAACTTGTGAGTTCTTAGAGTACTACTTTCAGGAAAGGTGGAGGCAGCCTTCATCAGAACCACCAACAGTGAAGCCATTCATATCCTTTCTCTCTCCCTAGGTTGGGGTCCACAGTCATCCAGCCTTCTGTCCACATTTCTGCCTGCTACCACCTGCAAGAGTCATCATGTCTCAGAGTAAGGAGAGTCCACATCACACTGATCAACAGCTCCATGCCCACAGTGAAACCCAGGACCTGGAGATTGCACAGATTTCCAAGGCTATGGAAGAGACTTTTCTCTATTCCCCCTTCCCCTCCCATCCTCTAATGTCTGACAACCTAAAGGAGGCTCCTGATGCCGAGATGCCCAGTACTTCTGAGGGACCTGGGAGTGCTGGAGCATCTGCAACTGCCATCGCAGCTGCCTCACCAAGGAAATTAAGTGACAGCTCCAGCAGCCTAGAAGATAATTCGACTTCTTCAGAGTCCTTACCAGACAGTGATAATCTGTGTGAAGACCCTCTAGATGAGAAGGCATCTGTGTTGGTGCAGTTTCTACTGGACAAATATGAGATGAAAGAGCCAATTACAAAGGCAGATATGCTAGATATAGTTATCCAAGAGTACAAGGATGACTTCCTTGAGATCCTCAAGAGAGCCTCAGATAGAATGGAGCTGGTCTTTGGCGTTGACTTGAAGGAAATCGACCCGGTGAGCCACACCTATGCCCTTGTCAACAAGTTGGGCCTCACCCATGATTCAAGGCTCTGTGGTGGCGAAGGTGTACCGAAGACAAGCCTCCTGATAATTGTCCTGGGTGTGATCTTCATGAAGGGCAACCGTGCTACAGAGGAGGAGATCTGGGAAGTGCTGAATATGATGGACTTACATTCTGGTCAAGAGCACTTCCTCTTCGGTGAGCCAAGGAAATTCATCACCAAAGATCTGGTGCAGGAAAAGTATCTAGAATATCAGCAGGTGCCTAACAGTGAGCCTCCACGCTATGAATTCCTATGGGGCCCAAAAGCTCATGCTGAAACCAACAAAATGATGTTATTGGAATTTCTGACCAAGATCCATCGATCTGACCCCATGTGTTTCCCATTCCAGTATGAAGAGGCTTTGAGAGATGATGCAGAGAGAGCCAAAGCCACAGTTGCAACCAGAGATGGCCCTACTACCAGTGCCAAGGCAACTTCCAAGGCCAGATTCACCAGCTCTTCTCACCGCTAGTGAAGTCTGAAGCAAAATCTACAGTGAAGAGAGCAGTCAACATTCTGTGTAGTGGAGGGCTGGGATTGACTTAGAGCAAACACAGAGAATAATATTTTTGTTTTCCTGCTTTCTTTGGTTAACTTATTTTTTTGGAGGGGGGGATAATTTCCAAATATATTTAGTTTCTCTTAATATAATACTTCTTCATAAGCTTCAGAATCTGGGTTTATGAATAACATCAGTCATATATTTGTTGTTACTTATGAAATTTAAGAATATGAGTTTTGCTTGTTTGGCAAATGAATTGTGAACCCGACCATCTTATTTCATGATCTAGAAAACTATCACATGCCATTCAAATAAGCATTCTTTTGGAACTGTCAACTCAAGTCAGCAGTAAAATAGGGTCAAGAAAAAAATTCCAAGAGATGATTAGTTGATGGATTCTTCGCTTTCCTTTTATTCCATTCTATAAAATTACATGATATATATGTGCATTTGCTTATTCAAGAATGTATGAAAAAAATCTTAATAAATTGCACTTAATATACACTGGCTCATTTATTTCTCAAACATTAAATGATCATCTGTTTTTTTGAAAGTGTTATGTTAGTACTGGGGATGGTAAAATAAACAAGACTCATTATTTGTCCTTAGAATTTTAGGGTCTGGCAGCAACAATCATGTAACACTCATGGTGGATGTCCTTAAACACAAAAAGGAAAAATAAAAAGGAATCAAGGGGTGGGGGTGTTGGGTGGGTGGGGGTGCCTATGCCAAGGTGGTCAAATGCAAATATCCTGAGACAAACCAGGCAGAGGCCTTAGAAAATCTCAAGGTGCAAATCCTTCAGTGAGTGGTAATTTTTTTTTTTGAGAGATTTTCGTTATAGGGTGCGTGCCCTCGCCAAAAAGACAGAGACAGACAGAAAGTGAGAAATCACCTCCCAGGAGGGATGGCCACGCCGCAATCCCTTCTCCTCCATTCTCCTCTTGGGATCTTGGGTATGCACGCACATGCGCCCGGTGTGAGTTTAAGCGACCGGGTCCAGGATTTGAACTGTGGTCAACTACGTGGGAGTCCAGAGACATAGCCATTACGCCAACTCAGTGAATGGTAATTTTAAATTAAGCTAGGCTGTAGAGGGTATGTGGCTGTGAGAGTGCTATTGAAGGAGCCAGACTCTCAGGTGGTGAGTCTCCATATTGAGAGACATAAACCTGGAATGGAAAACTTTTAGCATTAGTTACTCTGAGACCATGGTAAAAAATCCCTGAGACAAGAATGAAAGATGTCCTGTAATCTTGTCACAAACTAGGTACTTTATGCTTATCATTTGCAAAGGGATTGTGATAAATATAAATGATACTTTTCTTGAGGTGAGGTACCCAGAAGTCACTGAGCTGGAGCTCTGCTCTGTGTTGGAAGATCTAGAGTCTACCACATTCAAAAGACATTTTAAGTAGGTTATGTCCAGGGATGGCCCTGTGGGCTAGTGGTTAAGAGAGCTAGATAGCACATAGCTGGCTACTTGGTTAGAATCCCGACTCCCCCAGCTCGCAAAACGTGGAGTACGTATGCATGTGTTCCCCAAATCCCAACAGGATGGAGAAATGAAGAAGGGATTGTGTATAACCATATCCCATTAGAAAGTGCTTTCTCATTTTCTCTTTCCTTCTTCCCTTTCTGTCTCTGGTGAGCATCCATGTTCTCTGGTAAAAGAGGGGAAAAAATAGATTATGTTCAGGGAAATTCTAAGCATAGTCTACATTTTGGTGGGGGTAAATGTATGAAACAAAGATAGATGCTCAAAAGAAAATTGATCCTTGACACAGTTTCTAGGAGCTTCGGGTTACAGCCAGTTGGGAAATACTCCTTCAAAACCCAAATTAAATAGTATGTCCTGTAATGGGGAAGATTGACTGAATTTTTCTTTTTACACAAGTTTATTTGAACACCAAGATGATTGATTTAAAGGGAAAACTATCTAGGATTCCCCCCCCCTTTTTTAGAGGTTTTTGCTATAGAGCACGTGCACTCGCCAGACAGACAGAGAGAGACAGAAAGCGAGAGATCACCCCCCAGAGGGGATGGCCATGCCGCAATCCCTTCTCCATTCTCCTCTCGGGATCTTGGGCATGCACGCACACGTGCCTGGCGTGAGTTTTAAGCCACCAGGTCCAGGACGCGAACCACAGTCGACTACATGGGAGTTCAGCAACATAGCCATTACGCTAATTGCTGGTCCCTAGGATTCCCTTTTTTATTTTCTTTAGGAGTAATTTATTTCTAAAGGTAGATTGCCCTACATGTAGTAACTGCATACAAAAAAGTTATAAAATTGTCCTTGGTTTTATAATAATAAATGAACAACATTAAAATTTGCCGAATACTATGCAAGGTATTTTATGTTGTTGGAAGTTACTTGTTTTGTTTCCATTTTAGGTTTTTCCCATGGGGAGTGTGTGCTTGCTGAGGGGTGGGGGGAGAAGAGAGACAGAGAGAGAGAGAGGAGAGAGAAAGTGAGAATTCACTCCCCATGGGGAATGGCAACACCGCAGTCCCTTCTCTATTCTCCTCTCCTGGCATAATTTTCAAGCCACCAAGTCTGAGACTTGACCTGTGGTCCATGGTGTGGAAGCCCAACTCTTTAACCACCATGCCACCTGCTGGCTCCATTGGAGATTCTTTTTTTTTTACTAAACATCTTTTAACTGCTTCTGTGTGCTATATCCTAGAGCACTGCATATTCTTTGACATCTCCTGCATCAACTCATCCCAGAGGGAAAGGTGCTAGTCTTATATACAAGATAAGCCTTATATAGAATATAAGGCTCAGAAAACCTGCTAAGATACCCAAGTTCTTATGGTATGTGACAGAGCTGGGACTGGACTGGTCTGAATTCTTCTAGAGCTCACATTGTTCTGTTCCTTCCAATCTGAAACTGATATTCTGTCTGTTAACTAATTTCTCCTCTCACTACTCCATAATGCTTCTCAGAGTATAAAAGAAAGTCTTGAAGCCAAAATATTAAAAGCAGGTGTAGAGAAGAAATGTGAAAATAAGAATCAAAAGTAATTGGAGGAGGGGCCGGCAGGTGGCATGGTGGTTAAGGGTTGCTGGAGTCCTACATGTTTGACCACGGTTCAAGTCCCAGATCTGGCAGCTTGCTTTCTCACTCTCTCTCTCTGTCCCTCTCTGGTCAAATTAAAATAAATAAAGTTAAAAAAATATCAAAAAAAAAGTAATTGGAGGATTTTTTTTGTGTGTGTGAGATTTATTTACCTAAAGTGCTATCGCCTCTAACCCCAGGGTTCCTTGAGAACTGGCTCTGCTCAGGAGCTGGCACAGGTTGTCAGTTCTAGCACTTCACAGTGCCCTTCCCAGTATGCCCTCCTGTCTGACTTGACTCAAACCTGCTGACCGGCTCTTCACTATGCCTTCCTCTGATAGATAAACCTGCTCCCAGTGGAAGAGGTGACCCAGAATCACCTGCCTGTGTCCTAACTTAAAGAATTCCAAATTCTTGCAGATATCTCCTGACTGACTCTCACCATGGAATTCCCCTTATAGCAACAGCTTTGTCTATGTGTTTTCTTCTTCTTTTGTATTTCTTGAATTTGCCTGAGGGCACAAGCACTCTCTGGAGAGACTGAGAGAGAGAGAGAGAGGAAGACAGTATGTCCCAGTGGGGCATGGTTGCACTGCAATCTTTTCCTTTAATTTCTCTATCCTGTTGGGATTTGAGGTACACATAAACAAGCTGCAGAGGCCATGTGGGTGGCCATGTGGGATCTGACTCCCTTAACTTCTAGGCCATGGGAGTAGTGCTTCTTTGATTTTTA